TGTTAAAATGAATTCGATATCAATGTTCACAAATGAACACCATAAACATATATACAACAACATAAAAAAATTATTCAAAAAAATAGAGAAAGATAGTAACCCAAAAATTGAAAATTTACAATACTATCTTATTCTTCAAATGCCCAACAAGAATATTGAAAGATTATATTACTCACTTTAATCAAATGAGTGTTTAAGGAAAAGTGAATGTAGAGTTTATGGCTTCTTTAAGTAGAGAAAAATGATGATGATAAAATGAAAGGATTGCATATCTGTGGAGAGAGAATCGATTTTTGAAGAACAAATGGAATGCAGAATTCAATTAGGTTAAATGGAAATTGAAATGAGAATTAGGGCAATAATGTCTTTTTGTACACAAGGATATTCTAGTCATTTACAAATTAGGCATTCTAACTAAAGAATTTAGTTGATGGACTTTTTAAACTAAAACTTGATTTGACTAGGCCAATTAAATGAAGACCCCCTTATTTTTTTGATGAATGTTTTGTATAATGGCTTGCTGTAATGTTGTGGGTGTGGTAGTTAGTACTATGTTTCTAATTAGTATTACATTTGTTACTATAAATTTCTGCATCCATTCATGTTTTTGAATGCTTAATTTTCCTTTGTGGAGTTTAATTTCATAGTTATTATATGTAGGCTATTAAAGCCTTGGTAGGAGAGGCACTGCCAAAATCAACACCACATTGGAGCTCGTCGAAGAGAACTCGAGCAACGAAAGTGCCTAATTTGTCTAAAAAGGTTTCTTTTTATTGGACAAAAATTTGTAGTTATACCATTTTTAGAATTTTCATTTTGGAGTGTGTATGTTTATGTTCGTGTAATGAATTCTGGGTTCTGATATTATGGATAGCATTTGGCGGAGGAAGAGGAGCAGGACCAGGATTAATGAAAAAATGAAGGCCTTACAAAATATAATTCCAACAAATTAGAAACCACAAATTTTTATATTTTCCTTTATATTGTTTAGTTTTAATGTTGATTGAGTAAATCTAATGAGGTTTACTGTGTTATTTCTATTGTTTAGTTTTATTGTGGTAGACGAACAATGCTTCAATGCTCGATGAAGCAACTGAGTACCTCAAGCAACTCCAACTTCAAGTATAGGTTTGCACTCTATTCTGTTTATGTAGCTCTTTGATAGAAATTTTTGCAGATTAACGTGGTAATGTTAGATTTCACAGTTACATATGTATCTGTATTTCATTTTATTGGTTTGATTTTGGTGGTTCATGTGATCCATTCTCTGCAACTCGCGTTTCTTGTTTCCTAATCTGCTTTTCATTGATTCTTGTTGATTTTCTGCCAATTTCATGCTTCGAAGTCTACCAGTTCGGTGAAAAGGTAAGATTTTTTGTTTTGAACACTAATCATAGAAATCTAACTTCCTCTAATAATTTTCAGTTAGATCTTCCATGGAAATTATTGGTTGTTGATGTTTCAAAGTTCTGGTCTACTGAGGTCTCTGCTTTCAGCACACATCTTTCGGAGACTCTAAGCTTCACCTATAGATCACGAGCCAGCCATCATTTTAAGGGACACGCTGATCTTCTTGCAAGTGAGTATTGGTGCAGATTTTACAAGGCATCTGTTTTTTCTTTACGTTTTTTATTTTCCGTGTGGCCTCATAAAGTAATTTCTCAAATTAATTTAGTGCCCTTTTCAATTAAGTTGTAAAATATTCAACGGTGTTATGTATGTAAATTAACAGTTTGGCTATGAGTATATGGCATGAACTAGATTTAATTCATATATTGCTCCCAAATTTAATTAATATGTTTGTGCAAATATCAAAATTAAAGGAAATTATGTGGCTTTCTTGTAGGAGCTGTTCTATGCCAAATACATTTCAGAGGATGAGTATCATGCACCAAAAAGATCATTATTACAGAGATTAGGAATTCAAGGAGCCGAGATTGAGTTTCAAATAACAATGGCTCACTGCATTCTGGTTGGTTAAGTGATACTCTAAGTGAGCTCATAATGTTAATGTTAAAGTTTTTTTTTTTTTTTTAAAAAAAATTCAAGAAAATGGGATACATATTGAAAAAAAACTGAATATTTTAAAGTAATGCATACATGTATCATAAGTATGCATCATATGAATGATGTTTGTTTATTAACCACTAGCTCATTCCACGACATCTCTCACCATTTTTCAAATGATGAATGTTAGACGATTCCAGACGACTACTTGTGGTGAGACATGTAAGTACTAACATCCAAATACTAATTTCGTTCTGAAAATAAAATTAACATTATTTAATTTAATTGTCTTAAATTTTTTATTTTTTTATTAAGCACAAAATTTTTCTACAAAACATTTTTATAAATGAAATCATTGATATTTATGTTAAAGAAAAATCTTATAATTTTTTCACATTTATGATTTTAAGATAATTAAATGATAGTATTTCTAATTCTAAATCTAGAGTATCTTGATTTGAAATGTTCCATTTTCCCACTCACTCCCTTGTTCCCCTTATTCCTGGTCCTAGTGACAGAGCCAGGATTCATACGTAGTGAATGTCTATTTTATTTACTAATTTTTTTTAAACGCAAATACAAAATTATTAAAAAGAAATAAAAAAAATGTCTGACAATTCTTTTTGTCCCAAACTCCCAATGCATCACAGACAATAGGCTGCAAAGAATACTTTGATATATATTTTCGATAACTATAGGCTGCAATCCGAATACTTTGATATATTTTTTTCGATTTGAATATATTTCAAAAAAATAAATAAATAATTATACGGCATGATTAATGAAAATATTTTAATACCTCTCCCATTCTGTATCTTAAAAATCCCCGATGGAGATACGCTGACACACTTCCACGTTGCCATCCCTAGTCTTGAGCGTCGAAATGCATAAGCTAATTTTACCACCACTTCGTAGCGATAACCTTGAATTCTAATGAGTTCTCCCAGTATGCAGCTAACGCACAAGTAGGGAGAGATGTTGACACCAAATCTATATAATTTTGAGGACAATATATGTTTACTTTTACTTATATCCCCCGTCTACTATATTTAAAAATCAGATTTTTAAATAGATTTTAATAAAAATTGATGAAATGTTTACTTAATTGAAAAGTTGTATGTTCAATAAAAAGTGTGATTAAAATTAATTATTTAACTTTGACCTAGATTTTTATCAAAAATTTAATCCGCACCAAACAAGATAATAGTCTGAAACGCTCACTATCTATATCAGCTAGAGTACTGTTAGCTTAAAAATCGACATCAAAATCAACAATTAATTTTAACTATACAATTCATGAAATCCACAATTTTTTCAACTTTTCAACGATATATTTCATAACTTTTATTAAGTGCTAAATTTTTTTATCAAAAATCTTGGCAGACAATGGCTTTGACCATTGATATATACACTTGAAAAACGACCTAAAAATATTTCTCACGAGTACAAAATGTCGGAAGTCATAATATTGAGCCCCTATTTGGTTTATCTAAAAAAAATTAAATTTTTATTAGATTCTAATAAAAGTTAATGAAATATGTGATTAAAAGTTGATAAAAATTGTGAATTTTACGTGTGATTTAAAATGAATTTAAACAACAACAGGAGCTAGACAAACCCTCGGATGATCATAGTATTTCCACTCAAATTCCAAGTAGTCTGATTTCGAAAAGCCAAAATCAGGAGACAGTCCAGTCTGCTTGCTTCGCTTGTCCAAATCTTTGCATCCAGACAAGTGTCACGTAAGATCCAGATTCCTTTCAAGTTTCATGCACGCCACCACCTACTCTACTCACCTCTTCTAAATCCAATTACCAAAAAGAAGCCCCACAAATTTCCTTTATTTCCTTCTCTCTTTGCCTCTTGCTCTTTTACTCTTTTTCTTTCTTTGCTTCCCTTGTTTTCAAATAATACACGGATCCATTAAACCATTACTTCCTGATATATTACTGCAGCCTTTTGGTGTTTGATTCAGAACAACATCTACTCCAACACTTGCTTCCTGAATAGCAAAAATTTTAAGCTTTAACCAGAATGAATCGTACCATTCTGAATAGAAGGCTGCTTCAAGCAGACCTATATGCAGTACACAGCAATATCTCACCAGACACTGCTTCAAGAAATCCCATTGATGGCACCTCAACCACCATAAGAAGACCCTTTAGAGCAACCACGCCTTTCGACTTCTCCATGGCCTTAACTGTTCTCGTCCTACTCGCCGTCCTTTTCTTTATGGGCTTCTTCTCTGTTTACATCTGCCGCTTCACCGCAGAGGACCCTCCTTCTTCGTCGTCGTCATCCTCCTCCGACAACGTTACACCCCGGAGAAACCCACCTCCGACATCAAACAACCACAAGGGTCTCGAACCCTCTGCAATAAAATCACTCCCTCTTGTGCCCTACGGTGTGGTAGCGAAGCACCAGATAATCGAAGACTGCCCAATCTGCTTGAGCGAGTTTGAAGAAACGGAAATTGTTAAATTAATCCCATACTGTAGGCACGTGTTTCATCCCAGGTGTATTGACACGTGGCTGTCTTCGCACGTGACGTGTCCTGTCTGTCGGTCAACTCAGCTGTTCCATAGAGCTGAGGAGGTTTGTTTGGATGTGAAGCAGGAGAAACTTGACATTGGCGTGAATGAGATTGGTGAGCGGGAGAGATCAACGGTGATTAATGGTGACACGTTTAGAGATTAAGGTATTGTGCCGCATGCAGTTGTTCTAGTTTTTCTTTTTCTGTGTAGATTTCCCCTTTTTCTTTTCTTTTTTTTTTCTCTCAATATTTAGTTATGTATAAAATATTAACATTTTTCTTTTTAAGTCGGGGTGTGCTTATATATTCCACAAATTTGAAAGAGAGACGTACGATTTAACTTCTGATTAATAAAAATGCGATGTTAAAAACTTGACCTAATTGATGATAAATCTGAGTATAAAAGTTTTGAGGTTATGTTTGATTGTAACGAATTCCATGAAAAGTGTCATATTCGAGAAAAAACGAATTACACTTTGACCGTTTGATTGTAACGTGGAAATGGAAAATGAATTTCAAGGTACAATCACTTTAAACTGTATTTTCTTTGTTTTTATGGAAAACGAATTTCTATGGATTTGGTGAGTTTTTATTTTTCAATTAACATGGAATTGAAATTTCTTCCCACATTTTCCTATCAAACGAACCCTAATTTCTTATTAGAACCGCAACCATATCATGCGTAGTTTGATCTTCATTTTTTAAAATTTATTATAATCAAATTTATTTTTAAGTACATATTTTATAGAATCCATAATTTCTATCAATTTACACGTTTCATTAATTTTTATTAAAATTTATTAAAAATCAATTTTTATCTCAATCAAATGGGACGTAATTTATTGGTAATCTAAAGGGTTTAAGTTTCAATATTTAATTATACACAAATTAAATATCTAGTTATGTACGTAACAAGGACATGGCAACCACCATCTGTTTTTTATGCTAATAATGGAGCTATTAAAATTTGGGAAAATTGCATTATTGGTTCTCAATATATTGCCCAAATAGTAAGTTAATCTACAAACTTTAAAAAAAAAAAAAAAATCTTAACTTTTCATTATAGTTACAGTTGATTGAAACAGTCCAAGTCTTCACACATAGTGAGCTTTTTTTTTTTAACACAATTTCATGAAGCTAGATTTTGTCTTGGGAAAAATTCTTTTATCCTACTTTATCTTTACCCTATTTCAAAAATAAAAAAATAACTTTCACAT